CATAATATAGCTCGAACACCTAAATCACATATTATTAATACTATTCCTCATTCACCTCCATCTAGTAGACCATATCCGCAACCGGATAAGGAGGAGGTGATGTATAAGCTTATTCAGCAGTTTTTAACAGCAGGTCTCATTACTCAATCTAATTCTCCGTATGCTGCTCCAGCAATACTTGTTAAGAAAAAAGATCAATCATATAGATTAGTAGTTGATTATAAACGACTTAATGCTATAACCATTAAAGATTCTTCGTCACTTCCAAATATGGAAGATACTTTAAGGAAGTTAGGAAAAGGTTTCAGCTATTTTTCTAAACTTGATCTTAAATCAGGTTTCTATCAGATACCAATAGACGACAACGATAAAGAAAAGACAGCTTTCATAACACCATTCGGTCTTTATCAGTTTAACGTACTCCCAATGGGATTACGTAATTCTTCTCCGACTTTTCAAAAAGTCATGACTGATACACTGAAGTCGTGTCGTTCGTTTTGTCTCGTTTATCTAGATGACATAATAGTGTTTTCAACATCCTTTTCGGAGCATCTAGATCACTTAAAACAAGTATTTTCAGCATTACAATCAAAAAGCTTAGTATTAAACCCGCCTAAATGTGAAATAGCTGTTAGACAAATCGATTATCTCGGCCATACTATTACTAAAGATTGTATTAAGCCAATGAGAGCAAAAATAGACGCTATTTTAAATATAGAAGAACCGCACACCTTAGCTCAAGCTAATCGCTTTTTAGGATCTTTAGGATGGTATCGGAAATTTTTACCGAAATTTGCCGACATAGCTGCCCCAATACATGCTGTTACTAATCTAACAAAATCTAATCGACGAAAATTTAAATGGGAAAATCCTCAGTCAGAAGCTTTTCGACAGCTTAAGCAGATGCTTATTACTGAGCCTTTATTTTTACACTATCCTGTAGATCATTTACCTTTGATTCTAACTACAGATGCTAGTGATATAGGTATTGGTGGCGTTTTACAGCAAGAAGTAAACGGCAATATTCATAATCTTTATTATCATTCTCAACTTATGACAACGTGTGAGAAGAAATATAGTACTATAGAAAAAGAAGCACTAGCTATTTATAAGTGTTTAGAACGTATGAGATCTTTTGTTCTAGGACGTAGTATAATTATCATGACTGATCATTGTCCGTTATGCTACATTATGCAAAAGTCTATAAAAAATACTAGAGTCAATAGAATAACACATTTAATTCAAGAATACAATATTGATAAGATAGTACACATTCAAGGTCGTTATAATTGTCTACCGGACTATCTTTCTCCTTATTCTAAAGAACAAGACAATGCGTTATTTGATATTGACTATGGACTAGCTAGTAAAAATAAATCAAAAAATTTTAGTCAGCGAAAACTTGTAGCAGCTATGACTCTACGACCACGTAAAAAACAACCTATAGCTACAAACGATCATCAATCCATTCAGAATCATAACATCATTTCTCAACAGTTCGATACATTATCTCAGTCCGAAGATATAAAAAAGAACAAATCATCTTCTAATCTTTCACGTAACTATTTCGATATAGCGAAGTTAAAAATTGAACAACAACGAGATCCTCAAATACAAAAGATAGTTCAAAATTTTAGTTTACAATCTACTAAGAATTCCTTTCTATTCAAAGAGGATATAGTTTATAAACTTATTTCATTAAATAAATATTCTCATAAAAAGATTAAAGTTATATATTTACCTACTTCTATGATAGAGTCATTGTTGCGAGCATCGCATGATGATCCAATGTCAGGTTCACATTTCGCTACAGATCGAATGTATTATAAAATTCGTACTCATTTTTGGTGGCCAAAAATGAAAACCACCATTCAACGTTATGTAAAGTCTTGTAGTTTATGTACACAATTTAATTTAAGTCGTACTAAGAAATATGGTCATTTACGTTCTATTCCACCGCCAGAAGGACCATTAGCATTAATAGGTATTGATTTCTGTGGACCTTTACCTAGAACTCCACGTGAGAACCAATATGTACTTGTTATTACAGATTATTTTACGAGACATATAACTGCAATAGCTCTTTCTAATTGTACAGCCGAAACTACAGCACGCGCCTTATTTGATGATTTTTTCTGTAAGTTTGGTATACCTTCAATTATTCTTAGTGATCGAGGAACACATTTTCAAAATAAACTGATGGAAAATTTACAAAAACTCATAGGCTATAACCATATTTATAGCACTGCTTATCATCCTCAGACAAACGGAGTTGTAGAACGCTTTAATGCGACGTTTGTAGCTCAGATTTCGAAGTTACAGAGTACTCAACATAA